ATAAGGCCTCAGATGGAATCCCGAGCCCCATCCAGAACCTTCTGAGGTGGGACATTCCCACTTGAATGGATATGCAGACCAACTTGCAGTGGCTAGAGGAACAGAAGATACTTGTTGAAAGAAAGACCAGCAGAAAACCAAAAACTGCAGACTGTTCAGCTGTTACAAGAACAAGCAAGCTATCTGCCTGGGAACCATCAAGGCAAGGCAAGTCCCTTCAGAACAAACCCCCCTCCAAGACTGAAACTCAAAGGGAACACATGACCCTTCCAAGACTAAGACCAATGGGAATACACGCTGTGATTGGTGACCACGCTCGACACGGATAAGGGGAAGTGAGGGAAAAACAGCAATGAAGTGGTGAGCTAAGCCCTACAACGTTCAATAGACTTCTGTAAACCCAGGTAAAGACCGGGTGGGCCAGCGATGTGGCAAGACCTGGGGACTCTTGGGCCCAGAGTCAGTGACATAGCTACAGAGGACTAGAGTGGAGAGTGAAGCTTCCAGCTGAAAAGAAGAGAGGGCATATGCATAAGAATACCCACACTTGCAGATGATACCTACTTGTCCTGGCTTCAATGACTGGATGATCAGAGCTCAACCAGAAGTAAAAAGAGGGAAAAGAAAAAAAAAAAGTATTCTCATACAATCTGATGAACTTGACCCACACTTACGGAAGCGGTAGCTCAAAAGAGGAAGCGGGCCCTTGCGGCAAGAATCGTTCCCACCCCCTCTACACACAGAGTGGACAGAGATGGGCAACTCTGGACATTGGCTACCCAAAAAGGGGGGTGGGGGGCTACAAAGGCAAGAAGTGACTGGCTTACAAGCCTTTAAGAGGGAACCTAGAACCAGAGGGCCTGGAGAAATGTAGAATCTCCAGTGAGTAGTATTCAATCTGTCTAGGTGGCGCTGATGCAATGAAATCCAGATAGGTCTCTTGTGATACAATAGTGAATAATTGTTATCAGGACTGACTGTGAGGGTTGGAAATGTAAAGGTAGACGTTTTATAGCAAGGAGGGGAGTGATTAACTTTTCAGTCCAGGAGCGGAGGTCCCTGGGACCGTCAAGGGAGAGGAGCAGAGAGCGGGACACTACCCAGAGAAGCAGTGATGCCTGAAATGGAGCCAGAGATGATGATGTGGAGCGATGGAGCAGCTGGAGACTTTAGATCCAGAGAGGGAGAGCGACTGTGTGCTGAAGACCTGAGGGGCACGGGGGAAGGATTGCATGGAGGGGATTGTAATCATGGCAATGAGACGATATACGATGGAATGAATGTAAAAGTAATATTCTCCCATGTAAACTATCACATAATTCACAATAAATCATAAAAATTAAAAAAAAGGGAACACATGAGCAGGTTTATAAGCTCGCTGTTGACTGTGTTGGTCTACATATGAGTAGAAGTGGGAGAAAGGTAGTAATGAAGACATGGTCCGAGTTCAACCATGTTCCATAGATTCCTGTTGACCTTGAGATGAGAGAGAGAAGAGGAAGGGCTAATTGGTCCAAAATTTAGGGAGACCTGGGAACTCCTGAGCCCATGGACAAGGATGTAGCCACGGAGGACTAGAATTGAGAAGGAAGCGTTGAGCTGATATGAAGTGAGGGGAGATGCACAAGAATGTCCAAACTTGCAGATAGTACGTTCGACCTAGCTTTGATGGCTTGATGACCAGAGTTTGACTAGAGGAAGATAAAGAAATCTGGTAAAGGAAGCAAGTGTAAATTGCTACAATTTGATGAACTTGACCTATACTTATGGATGTGTTGTTGTTGTGAAGTGCTGTCAAGTCGGTTCTGACCCATAGCGACCCTGTATAGTAGGGTTTCCAAGGAGCAGCTGGTGAATTTGAACTGTGACCTTGCAGTTCAAACGACTTTGCAGTCTGGCGCATTAACCCACAGCGCCACACCAGGACTCCATTCATGGATGTAGTAGCTCAAAATACCAACTGAGGGGGAAGGAGTCTTCACATCAAGGATCAAGCCTATTCCCTCAGTACACAGGGATGGGAAGATAAGACATTGGCTACCTACAATGGGGGGGGGGGTGGCTATAAAGGCACAAAGTGGCTAGTTTACAAGTATTCAAAAGGGAGTTTAGTTTCAGAGTGAGGTGGGGAAGGTAGATTCCCCACTGAATAGTTTTTATCTTGTCCAGATGGATCTGGTGAAAGGAAATGGGGATAGGATTCTTTTGATTCAATAGTGAGTAAATGTTATCATGACTAATTGCAGTTTTCACAATTGTAAAGGTAGAAGATGTGTAACAAAAAAGGGGAGTAGTTAATCTTACATTCCAGGAACAGAGGACCCTAGGACCATCAAGAGGGAAGAGTATGAGCTGGGTGGGGGATCCTAACCAGAGAAACAGCAACACCAGAGATGGAGGCAGAGATGATGGCATGGAGAGCTTGAACAGCTGAGGACTCTAGACTCATAGAAAGAGAAAGGCTGTATGCTGGCAGCCAGGAGGCTGGCTTGCAAAATGTGCCCTTAGGCTTTTTAAATGATTACACATTCCTGTGTGTTTTTGTGTACACCAAAGAAACAAAGCAGGAATAGAGGCAAATTCTGTTAACCAATGGTGCATGGAGGGGATTGTAATCTTTGCAGTGAAATAAATATGATTGGTTGAGTGCAAAATTGGTGTTCTTCCATGTAAACTATCACTCAATTTGCAATAAAAACTCTCTGTATACAAAAAAAAGTTTATGTGCATATTTGCACAATCTGTTAGTTAAGTACAGCCTGGGTGGCATAATGAATTAAGCATCAGGATGCTAACTGCAAGGTCAGTGGTTTAAACCCATCAGCCATACCTCAAGAGAAAGATGGGCTATCTGCTCCTATAAAGATTTATATTCTCTGAAACCCTGAAGAACAGCCTGACTCTTTCCTATCGGGTTGCTATGAGTTGGGGTTAATTAGATGGTCAAGGGTTTGTTTTCCTTTAATTGGAGTTCCTAAGTGGTACAAATCAGCCAAAAAGTTGGAGGTTCCAAGTCCACTCAGGTGTCTCGGAAGAAATGCTTGGCAATCTATTTCCAAAAAAAAAGCTACTGGAAACCCTGTGCAGCCCATTTCCATTCGTACACACAGGGGTTGCCATGGGTCCAAGGATTGTTGTTGTTGTTGTTTTAATAGTCCCGAAGCCTTCTCTTTACTCTTTACTAGGCATAAGCATTTCAGATTATTCAACTCTTCCTCAAACGGTATGAATAAGGTGTTCTCATTTGGCCCCCATCCCAGCAACTCTGTTTACCTTCAGATCCTTAAATTTCTGGTGTGATGCTGTAGGATAAGCACCAGACTGCTAACAGCAAGGTTGGTGGTTCAAAACCCTAAGCTACACCTCAGAAACCATATACAGGGTTACTACGAGTCACAATTGGCTAGATGGCACTTAACAACAACAAACTGCCACTTACCCAATCCCTCCTAGGCAGCAGCAGCAGCAACTCGGAGCCATGGTCAGGGTTCAGGGTGCAAGGGAGTGGCTGGGAGTCTGTGTGTGCCCACATCCCTGGTTAGACCACAAGGAAGACAGTCTGGGCCTCATGGCCCTCCTCTAGGACATTCTGAGTAAATGTTCTGTCTTCTCCCCATCGGACACCTCTCCCAGCCAGAGCACTCCCATGAAAACTCCTACTTACAGTCCTGTGTTTTACTTGGATTTTACCATTTTAACTCCAGGTACCCTGTGATTAAACAAATTGGGGCACTTCATCAGCTAGTGCACATTACACCTGATTCATGTCCTGAACTTCACATTCTGTTTCCTTCCAAGAACTTTGTCCCATTTTCCATCAGCCTCTTGGAAATAATCAGACCCTGTTCTTTTGTTCAACTCACTCCTCCCTACTTGGCCCACCATGGTAGGAGGGCAGCAATTTATCATTTTTGTTTCTGTTGTGAGCTGCCATCCAGTCATCCCCACCCTCCCTCTACTGAAGAGACCCCATGCAAAAGAGAACAAAATGCTGGCCAGTCCTGAACAATCCCCAGATAGCATAGGGGTTATGCCATTGTGATTCATGGGGTCTTCATTGACTGATTTTCTGAAGTAGATTAGTCTGTCCTAGTCTAGAAGCTTCACCATACCATCATAGCAACATGCAAGCCTTCACTGACAGATGGTTAACCATGTGGGATACGGTTCAGGAAGCTAACCTCATTCTGTTGCATGGAAGGCAATAGAATTCCACCACCGTACCACAAATGTTCCCCGAACGCAACAGTTGCTATTGTCAAGTGGTTTCAACTCATAGCAAGCCTGGATAGCGTTTCCAGGTTATTTGTCCTATTGCTGCTCTTTTCAGAGCTCTTTCCTTCATCCCTCTTTTCCTTTATTCCTCCAAATAAAAGACATAACAGAAATGTCGGGTAGGAACAAGTTTATTATGAACAAATTTAAAAAAAACTCTGAGGAGCAGGTACACATACAATATGAATACTAAAACACTGGATGCCTATTTTAAATGAAAAGAGAGAGCTCTGAGAGGAAGAACAAACGGCAAGATTGGGAATAAGTTTTTCTAGTCAGGAAAATGTGTCATTCATCCTGACTAGATCATATGCTTTACTAGGATGGGCTGTAATGTTGGAGCTTGAACTCAAACTGCTTATTTTAGCTTCTTGGCAAGTCCTTCTGGGCTAATGGATGAGCAGAGGCTAGGACTACCAGGCTGACTACGAAGCACTCAAAGGATTATTAAGTGGACAGAAAATAATTGCTTATCTATCTGGTAACTGAAGGAGCTCTGGTGGCGTAGTGGTTACGAATTGGGCTGCAAACCACAAGTTCTGCAGTTCGAAACTACCAGCTATTCAATGGGAGAAAGATGAGGCTTTCTGCTCCCGTAAAGATTTACAGCCTTGGTCGGAACTGACTCCACAGCACACAACAACAACAACAATTTGATAAGTGTGTTGGGCCTACTCCTTTTCGCTCAGTGGAGTGGGGCTGTGGGGCTGGGCAGAGAGCTGGCTTTAACCAGGGAACTTGGCCAGGCGACGCTTAGCCTGGGTCAATCTCCACAGCCGTTCCTTTAGGAACTTTCTCTTGTCACTGGTGTCGCTGCGCTCTTTCAGAAGCCAGTCGTAGCCATCCTTGTTCTGCAGCAGTTGCAACATGCCTTTCTGTAGCTGCTGGCTATACAGCTGCAGGATGAAGAACTGGATGACCAGAGGGATGTGGTTGGACATGCGGTTGCTGACCTCCTGCAGGAAGGAATGATGAACAGAGAGGTTGGAGGCAATTCTGCACCATGGAGGTAGTGGGGGGGGTGGGGTGAGCCCAACCCCTGAGCATCTGAGAACCCAATCTCCAAAAAGAAATGCCCTCCCACATCAGTGTCAAACCTTCTTTCACATCAGTGACATTTGTGCTATTTTATTGTTAAGTGCCATCGAGTTGGTTCCGATCCATAGCGACCCTGTAGAGGGTTTCCAAGGAGCAACTGGTGAGCTTGAACCACCTACTATTTGCATTTCAAACTGACTTTGCAGTCTAGCGCATTAATCCACAAGTGCCACACCAGGATTCCGTTCAGGCAGAGAGAAATGACACATCATTTTATAGAAAGAAAACTAAGACTCAGTTTAAGTCACATGCCCAGGGCCACACAGCCAGCCCAAAGCAGACACCGGTGGCAGTACACCACGGTTATTTGAGGCCCAGTTGCCATGAAGACTTGCAAAGGGCTAAAAGATGCGTACTTTACAGAGACAGTAAAATGACAGAGAAAGGCACCACAAGTAAAGAAAATGCACTGAAGACCCCATTCTAGAAGACAGTTGCAAACCCACCTTATGGTACGCGAACAGGTGCTGAGAGAGTTCCTCCTTGAAGGAGTCCAGTGAAGAAACCTTTTGAGACTGTGAGTAATGCTGTGTTGAGTTCCTCTTCTCTTCCTCCATCTCCTTCTCCCTGATGTCCCGCAGTGCACCACTGTAAATTTTGTCCTGGCAGTAGACAATCTGCTCCATTTGGAAGTGCAGTTGGATCATCTTCTCAGCTTCTTTCTCTTGTTCTAATTTAATATCCTCAATTTTGGTCTACAAAAAAAGAGAAACAACTACATATTCCTCAAGGAATGTATCGATGGACCATCCTAAAAGTCCGCAAATGGATGAAATCAAAGGATGTATTACATTGGGCAAATCTGCTGCACAAGACCTTTATAAAGTGTCGAAGAGCAAAGATGTCAGCTTGAGGACTAAAGTGTGCCTGACCCAAGCCATGGTATTTTCAATAACCTCATATGCATGTGAAAGCTGGACAGTGAATAAGGAAGACTACAGAAGAATTGATGCTTTTGAGTTATGGTATTGGAGGAGAATATTGAAAGTGCCATGGGCTGCCAAAAAACCCCAACATATCTGTGTTGGAAGAAGTGCAGCCAGAGTGCTTCTTGGAAGCCAGGATGGCCAAACTTCATCTATCATACTTCAGACATATATTGTCAGGAGGGACCAGTCACTGGAGAAGGATGTCATGTTTGGTAAGGTCAGAGAAAAAGAATAAGACCCCCAGCGAGATGGATTGGCCAAGTGGCAGCATCAATGGACTCAAGCATGGCAGCAATTGTGAGGTTGGCCCAGGATCGGGCAGTGTTTCATTCTGTTGTGCATAGGTTGCTATGAGTTGGTACCGACTCGATGGCACCTAACAACAATAATAACAACAACAACATCAATTAAATAGTAGAAAACTCAGAGACAGCTCTCTGTGCCCCACCTCAGCTTGCCTAATATACCTGCCTGCCTGCCCCTCATTCTGTGCTGAGGTTAAAATCACTGGTGAAGGCTGAGCCACCCACCCCCACCCCCTCAGGGCTTGGGGACCTGCACGGACTCTGTTCTCAGGCCCATGGGGCAGGTCCTTCCTTTGGCTGTTAAAAATGAAGCCATTCTCTCCCCCAGAGGCTAACCTACTAAAACCAAACTCACAGCTGTCAAATCAATTCCAACTCACAGCAACCCTCCAGGACAGAGCAGAATTGCCACAGAGGGTTTCCGAGGTTGTAAATCTTTGCAGAAGTCGACTGTCACAGGGTAGCTGGTAACTTGACTAGTAAGATTCTTAACTTTTTCTCCCATGAACAACCGATGGGTTTGGACTACTGACATTTTGGTCAGTAACCAAGTGCTTTAACCACTGTGCCACCAGAGCTGTTCACAGGGTAAGCAAGGGAACAAAATTTAAATCAGTAAAATTCTGTCTGTGTCAGGGTCTTGGAGTTTATAGGAAGTACTGCTAGCAAGTCAGAATATGGTAGGATCCTCCTGACCTCACTGAGGGATCAAGGCCAGACACTCTTAACACTTTTCGTCTGTTAATTACAACACCTTCCAAGGGAGGAGGAGCCCTGGAGGTACAATAGGCTAAGCATTTGGCTAGGAACTGGAAGGTCAGTGGTTCAAACCCACCAGTCAGTTGCTCCAGGGAGAAAGACGAGACTGACGAGACTGTCTGCTCCGTAAAGATTTACAACCTTGGAAACCTCAGGGAGCTGTTCTACTCTGCTCTATAGGGCCGCTACAAGTCAGAATCAATAGCAGTGGGTTTGTGCTGGGTTATGTTTTGTTTCGTTTCCTAGGGAGGTAGGATGAGGAGCTAGAAACACAGGGAGGCTAACAAGGTGGCCCAGATGCTCCAGCTGGTGAATGGGGGAGCCGTCTTCTGGTTGGTGCCAGGGAGCCCCTGCTCTGAAGATGAGTCAGACTGTTCTCAGTCACTCCTGCCCCCAAGAGTTCAGGTCTCATGGCCTCTTAGCTCTTCTTCTTGGCTCTTGAAGGACACCATTTTTGCATCTGGTTTCCTCTGTGAGTTCCTAGATTTGGGGATATTTTCTCCAGATGTGACCACCTTCAACATTCACTGTTGTTGTTGTTGCTAAGTGTTGTCAAGTCGGTTCCAGCTCATAACAACCCTGTATAGGGTTTCCAAGGAGCAGCTGGTAGATTTAAACCACCAACCTTGTGGTTCAATCCTTTATTCCTATGTTATCCAACATTTGATTTTCAAATTTTCTCTTTTATTGTTTACAGCCAGGAACTAATTAATTATTAAAACATTAGCTGACCCTTTGTTACAGGATAACCAATAAATTGACTAATACAATTGTCATTCCCAAGTATTTGCTTCTCCAAATTCACGACAGGGAGACACAGTTGAAATAGTCTTAACCCAAGAAATCTATTTTCTAAGATCAGGCTTAATTTTTTTCTTTCTTTTTGATAGCATACAGTTGGTTACCTTGGTTGTTCTGTGCAGGTTAAAAAATTCATCAAAATGTTTTTTCGAAACATCCGTGAAGGCAAGCCGGACTATATCTGATCAAAGAAAGAAAGTAAATTCAATATTGGTAGCATCAGTCATACTTTACATAGCCAAGAAAACAAGAGGATAAAATGGTAGCAATCAAAGTTTCTTTCTTTCTGGTTTTCGAACACTTGGCAATATGTTTAAAAACCACATATGCCTGTAATGTGTGTAAGATCTTGTGATGATGTTTTGGAGATAACCTTTGGTTGTAATGAGCATTAGCCACAGATGTGGAAGTCATTTATATGAGGCGGGCTTCAAGATGTTCACGGGAAAATGATATGAAAAGAGAATGGAATTTCCCTACAAACTTTATGAAGCTCCCTTGAATGCAGACTCATATCCATGGAAAATAGAGCCTATAGCAATTAGTTTTAACTTGCTTACGGATCTCTCATGGCTAGTGATGAGAGGCCCTTAAGCAAATCCAAACAATGATATTGAACAGAAACTGCTCTTTGCTCCTTCCCTCCAGCCAATGGTACCCAGGGCACACCTCTGTTGTAATGTGACTTTGTTGCTGTTAAATGTCATTGAGTCAGTTCTGACTCATAGCCATACTGTATAGGGTTTCTGAGGAGCGACTGGTGGGTTTGAACTGCCAACCTTGTGGTTAGTAATCCAGGGCTGATCCTGCAGTGCCACACAGGGGCTATAATAAGACTCAGAAGTAGATCATTTTTGAACTTAGAAATAGAGACACATTAGGGGGGCTTCCAAAAGTTCATGTAACTATGATATTAAAAGACAATGGAATTTTCCCAGGAACTTGTTCATAGATGGATGGGAAGAATGTGGTAAAGAAACTTTAAGGTGACCCTGGCACTAAATGCTGTAATCAAAGAAATCCTTGTACAATTAGTTAATCTGACTTTCTTGAACGACTGACTGAGAGCCTGTGGTAGTCACTGACCTTGGAACCAAGTCAAATAGCTAAGAGGGAGCTCCACAGAGAATTTGAGCAGTGGTACAGCCTTCCTCTTGAGACCTTTGTTGAAGGGAAAAGCCTGAAGACTATAGATTTGGACCCCAACCACTGAACTAACATAACATCGGGATTGGTTACTCCGATTCTCTAACTGATCGCTTTGAGGTCTTACTTGAATGCCAACCTTGCAATCAATTAAATGAGTCCATGCATATAAAAAACCTGAATTTCTCTGGACTTATTTTCAAGTAAAATCCTACAAGATACTTCCTCCCTCCTACCCTTTCTGTATATTCCTTCCTCTTCTCTTTCCTTCTAGAGCAGGAGGCTGTGCTGTCTTGTTTGTTGTTGTTAAGTACCATGGAATCGGTTCCAATTCATAGCGACCCTGTACAGGGTTTCCGAGACTGTAAATCTTTACGGGAGCAGAACGCCTCATCTTTCTCCCACGGAACCGCTGGTAGTTTTGAACTACTGACCTTGTGGTTGGCAGCCAGACTTGTAACCACTACATTACCAGAGAGCTGTCTTACTTAGTCACTTTCAAAATTTTCTCTAAAGAACTCTGGAAAGTTCTTTAAAAACCAAATGTTCCCTGCCATAGTTTTATTTGACATTTCAAAGTCTCATCCTAAATTTAAATAACCTCAAAGAAGGTAATTTCCAGAAAATTTCAATATATTAATACATTATAATAAACTATAATAAGATCACAGTGCTCTTTTAAATGCAATCTGAATGGTTACATAGTACATGTAAAAAAGGAATTCATGAACAAACTCTTGTTTAAACCAGAAATTTTACAGTATTTCTTTTAAATTCATATTTTCATTCCATTTCCTCAGTTTTATCCTAATATGATATATAATACCCTTATGCAATCTTTTATTGATCCCTATACCATATCTTTCTAAAACAGAAGAAATGTGTATACAGTATGCTAATTTTAAACAAGTCTTTTCTTATGATACTATGGTTCTAAGGAGTACTGGTGTGGCGCTGTGAGCTAATACGTCAGACTGCAATGTTGTTTGAACTGCAAGGTCGATGGTTCAAACTCCCCAGATGCTCCTTGGAAACACTATACAGGGTCATTATGGGTCAGAACCAATTCGACAGCACTTAACAACAACAAAGGTTCTAAAGCACTACAGAGTTTCTTATGGAGTAAATTGCTGTTGGTGTTGTTGTTAAGTACATTTGAGTTGGTTCTGACGCATAATGACCCTGTATAGGGTTTTTGAGGCTTTTTTTTTTTTTTTTTTTTGATCTGTGTAGGAACAGAAAGTGTCATGTTTCTCCTGGGGAAGTGACTGGCGGACTTGAATCACAGACCTTGTGGTTTGCAGTCCAGTGCTTATTGTATGGAGCCACCAGACTAAATTGTTGTTGTTGAGTTGGTTCTGACTCATTGTTCTGAGGAGCAGCTGGGAATTTGAACTGCCAACATTGCAATTCAAACCAACCTGGTAGTCCAGTGCTTATCCCACAGCACTACACCAGGAGTAAATTGAGAGTATGTAATCAACACAATACAATGACAGGTTCTGGTATGATTCTTTAGTCTAACAGTAAGATTTTATCACAAACAAGGTTTTCTTCGTGAGTATGGCACTGTTTCCTCTCCATTAGTTCATGGATGGAGGCTTGCATGTTGCCATGATGTTGAACAGATTTCAACAGAGCTTCCAGACCGCGGTGGAAGAATGGTGGTGGTGGTGATGATGGTATGCCGTGGAATCGGTTCCAACTCTTAGCGACCCTGTACAGAGTTTCTGAGACTATACATCTTAACAGGAGCAGAAAGCTTCATCTTTTTCCTGTGAATGGCTGGTAGTTTTGAAATGCTGACCTTGAGGTTAGCAGTCCAACTCACAACCACTACGCTACCAGAACTCCTTGAGGAAGAATGGTATGACCAATGAAAACCTGTGAGTCACCAATCATGTGATCTAGAGCAGTTCATAGGGATGGTACAGGACTGAACAGCGTTTTATTCTGTCTTCTCAGGTTGTACACCGGGAGTTGAGGGTTGACTCCAGCAGCCAACAACAAGAAGTCCATGGATTCATGAATAATTATTATTATAACGAGACAGGATTCATTAGTCTGACTGAGTATACATCAGCCAATGGGAAAATAAAGAGATGATAACCAGGGCCATCCAGGAAACCAAGAGAACAAATCACTTCACAATTTAGGAAGAGGTCAGCAATATTAAATCTTGCATTTTTCCTCAAGTAGCTACTGTGTGGCATTGTAGGATAAGCACTAGACTACTAACCTCAAAGTTGGTGGGTCAAATCCACCACACATTCCTTGGAAACTGTATACAGAGTTGCTATGAATCTGCACCATCTGAAATGTACTTATCAACAGCAAGAACACAACATATGTACTTGTAAAAGAAAAAAAAAAAACAGTGGCGGTCATGTGGACCCCAACTCACAGCAAACCCATGTGTATTAGAACAGAACTGTGCGCCACCGGGTTTTCAGTGGCTGATCTTTCAGAAGTACATGGACATTCTTCCAAAGCACCTCTGGCTTTCCAAGGCCTCTAAATTTTTGATTAGTAACAGAGCATGCTAACCATTTGTATTACCATTCTACTGCCTACCTGCAATACCAACAGATCCATACTGCACTTTAGAATGTCCTGGTGTGGCGCTGTAGGACAAGCACCAGACTGCAAGGTTGGTTTGAAATGTAATGTCAGTGATTCAAACTCACCAGCCACTCATTCCTCAGAAACCCTATACAGGCTTGCTATGAGTCAGAACCGACTTCACGGTACTTAACAACACTAAACACTTACTGAACATTTTGGTATTTAGTCATTGACTTGACTTCTAAGAAACTCCAAATAAATTGACTACTTATTGTTGTTGGGTGCCACTGAGTCGGTACAAACCCATAGCGACCTTATGCAGAGCAGAATGAAACACTGCCCAATTCTGGGCCAATCTCACTACTGTTAATCGATGCTGTCACTTGGCCAATCCATTTCATTGAGGGTCTTCTTCTTTTTCTCTAACCCTCCACCTTACCACACATGATATCCTTCTCCAGTGACTGGTCCCTCCTGACAATATATCTGAATTATGAGAGATGAAATTTGGCCATCCTGGCCTCCAAGGACCACTCTGGCTGCACATCTTAAAATGGATCTATTGGTTCTTTTGGCAGTCCACGGCACTTTCAATATTCTCCTCCAACACCATAACTCAAATGCATCAATTCTTCAATGGTCTTCCTTCTTCACTGTCCAGCTTTTGCATGCATATGAGGTTATTGAAAAGATCATGGCTTGGGTCAGGTGCACCTTAGTCCTCAAGCTGACATCTTTGCTCTTCAACACTTTAAAAAGGTCTAGTGCAGGAGATTTGCCTAATGCAATACGTCATTTGATTTCTTGACTGCTGCTTCAGTGAATGTTGATAGTTGATCCAAGAGGAATGAAGTCCTTGACAACTTCAATTTTTTCTTCATTGATAAGGATGTTTTTTATTGGTCCAGTGGTGAGGATTTTTGTTTTCTTTACATTGAGATGTAATCCATACAGAAGGCTGTGCTCTTTGATCTTCATAAGTAAATATTTTAAATCCTCTCCACTTTCAGCAAGCAAGGTTGTATCATCTGCATATCACAGGTTGTTAATGAGCCTTCCTCCAATCCTAATGCCATGTTTTTCTTCATAGAACCCAGCTTCTCAGATTATTTGTTCAGCATACAGGTTGGATAAGTTTGGTGAAATAATACAACCCTGTCACACACCTTTCTTAATTTTAAACCATTCAGTGTTCCCATGTTCTTTTTGAACAACTGCCTCTTGTTCCAGGTACAGATTTCTCATGAGCACAATTAAGTGTTCCAGAACACGCACACTTCTCAGTATTGTCATGATCCACACAATCAAAAGCATTTGCATAGTCAATAAAGCATAGGTGAACATCTTTCTGATATTATCTGCTTTCATCCAAGATCCATCGGATATCAGGAATGATATCCCTCGCTCCGCGACCTCTTCTGAATCTGACTTGAACCTCTGGAAGTTCTCTGTCAATGTATGCTTGCAGCCATTTCTGTATTACCTTTAATAAAACTTTACTCGTGTGGGATATGACAGAGATTGTCTGATGATTTCCGTATTCCATTGGGTCACCTCTCTTTAGAATAGGTACAAATATGGATCTCTTCCAATCAATCGGCCAGATAGCTGTCTTCCAAATTTCTTGGCAGAGATGAGTGAGTGCCTCCTGTGCCGCCTCACTTTCTTGAAAGATTTCCATTTTTATTCCATCAATTCTTGGTTCCTTGTTCTTTGCCAATTCCTTCAATGCACCTTGGACTTTGTCCTTCAGTATCATTGGCTCTTAATCATATGCTCCCACTTGAAATGGTTGTACATTAACCATTTCCTTTTGGTACAGTGACTCTGTGTATTCCTTCTGTCTTCTCTCGATGCTTTCTGAATCATTCAATAATTTGCCCAGAGAATCTTTCAATAACGAAAGTTGAGGCTTGATTTTTTTTCTTCAGATCCCTTAGCTTGAGAAATGCTGAGCGTGTTCTTCCTTTTTGGTTTTCTGACTCCAGATCTTTGCACATCTTATTGTAATATTTGGCATTATCTTCTCAAGCTGATCTTTGAAATTTTCTGTTCAGCTCTTGGACCTCCTCATGTCTTCCATTTGCTTTAGTATCGCTGCACTGGAGAGCAAGTTTCAGTGTCTCTTCTGACATCCATTTTGACCTTTTCATGACTTTTTGCTTTCTTCATGTATCATGTTCTCGATGTCATCCCACAACTCTTCTGGTCTTTGGTCTTTGGTGTTTAATGTATCAAATCTGTTCTTCAGATGATCTCTAAATTCATACGGGATATATTCAAGGTTATATTTTGGCTCTCGTGGACTTGTTTTCATTTTCTTCAGCTTCAGTTTGAATTTGCATATGAGTAACTGATGGTCTGTTCTACAGACTGCCCCTGGCCTTGTTTTCAATGATGATATGGAGCTTTTCCTTTGTCTCTTTCTGCAGATGTAGTCAAATTGATTTCTATGTATTCCATCTGGTGAGGTCCCTGTGTATAGTTGTCTCTTATGCTGTCTAAAGAAGGTATTTGAAATGAAAAAATCATTGGTTTTGCAGAATTCTATCATGCATTCTCCAGCATCATTTCTAATACCAAGGCCATATTTTCCAAATACTGATCCTTTCTCTTTTCTCCCCACCTTTGCATTCTAATCACCAGTAATGATCAACACATCTTGATTGCAAGTTTGATCAGTTTCAGATTGAAGAAGTTGGTAGACTTCTTCTATTTCATCCTCACTGGCTTTAGTGGTTGGTGCATAAATTTGAATAATAGTGGTATTATCTGGGCTTCCCTGTAGGCACATGGATATTATCCTATCACAGACAGTGTTGTACCTCATGACTGATCTGGATATGTTCTTTTTGACAATGAATACAACACCATTCCTCTTCAATTAGCATTTCCAGAATAATAAACCATGTGGCTGTCAGATTCAAAATGGCCAATACCAGTCCATTTCAGCATACTAATGCCTATGATATAGATGTTTATGTGTTCCATTTCATTTTTGACAACTTCCAGTTTTCCCAGATTTATACTTCATACGTTCTATGTTCCAATTTTCAATGGATGTTTACAGCTGTTTCTCTTCATTTTGAGTTGTGCCCCATCAGCAAATGAAGGTCCAGCAGGCTTTACTCCATTTGAATCATCAAAGTCAACTCTACTTTGAGGAGGCAGCTCTTCTCCATTTTGAGTGCCTTCCAACCTGAGGGGCTCATATTCTGGCATTGCATCTGACAGTATTTCTCTGTTTTTCATAAGGTTTCCAGTGACTAAATATTTGGAAGTAGTTCATCACTCTTTCTTCCTAGTCTGTCTTCATCTGGAAGGTCATCTGAAACCTGTCCACCATGGGTGACCCTATTGGTATTTAAAATACCGGTGGCATAGCTTTCAGAATCACAGCAATTCACAAGCCACCACAGTACGACAAACTAACAGATGACTATTTAGAGACCGAGAAATAAAAAAAGCAATGAGAAATAGTGGAGGAGAGCTCAGCAGTTTACCCTTTCTCTGCCCTAGAAATGAAACACCATTAAAGTGAAACCCAGAACTCACCAGTCACCGTGTGAAGCATCTCAACAGCTGGTTCTTCTAGTTTTTTGATTTGCTCTTTCATAATCACCTCAAAAGTCCGATAATTCACAAAACCTGGCAGCTCTCGGCCACGGTATTGTTTTTCAAATTTATAGATTTCCATACACATACTTCTGTAACCTAAAACAGAAAAGAATCACTCTGAGTGATTGTGCAGTGAATCATCTTCAACATTGTTGGATTTATGGAAAGCGCTGAGTGGCAAGAGACATTGCAAATTACAAACAAAAACCTATTGAGGGAGAGAGGCGGAGCTTATGGCAGCTAGAGTGCAGATGCAGTGAAGTTGACTGTCAGCCATACTACAGAATACCAAGCAAAGCAGATCCAGGGCAGAGCTCCAAAACTCGGAACCACAAGATAGGAATATTTTTAAAGTTTAAAGGTATAGCTAGTGGAACTTGAAGCTGAAGTAAGAAATCATGTACTTTTGAATCTGCCCAGCTCGGAGGCCCAGAACCAACATCTTGGGCAAGACCAAATGGTAAGACCAAGTGGGGGACAAGAAACACCAAGGAAAAATGCTGCAGGAGCCTTGGAGCAAAGGTGGACAATATACTTTGTCAGTTTTGCTTTGTTCTGATATTCTTTTTTTGTGGTATCTGGTCATCGGTGTCCCCATTGTTTACACACCTCCATTCTGGTGACTAGAGGGGGAGCCTGAGCGAGTGGACACCCCTCACCCTCACCACTGGTGGGTTCTTCTGCCACGCATGTGCACAGATACTCAGCCCAAGAGCTGGTCCTGAACCTTTTTTGTTTGTTTGTTTTAATATGGGAAAGGACAGGACAGGGCTGTAGAGTGGCAAAATGAGTTTAAAAATAAAACAAGCTGAAAATTAAATTAAAGCCTGAGGTATAGCATAACAACCAACACTGGCATCTTGAAATCTCTCAGGCAGCTTTGAAAGTAAGAAGCTGAAGAGAGGACATTAAAGTCATACTCAT